AACGTGTTCGTAGAAACACAGTTGTTTTAGATAGTGCCTCAACCTCGGTTATAACTGCATTACCACCCTGTAATACAGCATTAACTACTAGCTCACAAAATGGCTTGAGTGCAATTCTCACTCCTGTGATACAGATGAAAGATGTTCTGTTGGAGAACTCTGAGATCTGTAAATTAGACCTCCTTGTGAAAGATATCCAAAGGCAAGTAAATGAACTTCAGAAAAAATTAGGTCAGTTTGATAGAATGTCACTGCCATTGTCAAATATCACGGAGAGTAGTTCTGATATTGACCAGGTTAAGTCTTTGCTGGATGTAACTCAAAGCAAGCTTTCGAATTTAGACCCAATAGCCTGTCTGTTAAGAAAGCATCCTAAAATGTCTCCAGACACCCTAAATAAGGCTGAAAATATGATTGACTGCTTGGCTGCGGAGGTGATGAAGCGTATAACCTCTTCTCACCAGGCTATAGTTTACAATGTCCCAGATTCTCTTCCTCTGAAGACTGTTAAACACAAAATCCTGATTTGTTGCGGCATGGCCAGTGTTCCATGTGAATGCAAAAGACTTCGTAAAAAGTCTAACCAGGCTAACTGTCCCATTATTTTTAAGTTCAGTAATTCCCTTGATTCTAGTAAGTTTATTAAATGCCAGGATCACCTAAGACTGAACAGTAGTTATAAGTCTATAACCATAGCTCAAGATAAAACACCGTGTCAGCGCAGAATGATGCGGAGTAATAACCTGGTCACCTCCTCTAGCTTAGAATTACCCAAAAACGATCGTGCACAGCAACAGTCACCTAATGCTGACATTAGCATTCAGCAGACCACACAACAACCACGCATGGCAATGGAACTAGGGACTGATTTAGATACCAGTACCCCTGTAAATAACGTCTCACCAAAAGATGTTAAAATAGGTAGAACTGTTGCAAGCCGTTCCAAGAAATTCCTACCCAAACGTGGTGACCTCACCACAATGAACAAATTTCGCCGGGTTGAGACTAATGATGGGGAAGAATACTTTGTATTCAATAAGCTTGCTGAGAGTAAGACTGTCAAAAAACCCGCACCTCTTACGAAAAGTTCCTCTCGAAACACAAGTATATCTGGTGGTTTTCAGTATGCTCCACCTTATAGAAAGTCAGGCCCCAAAACCCCCAAAGTCTTACAACCAAAGCACCTTCCCTTTCAATTTCCTTTAAGTTATAAAACCAACACGAAGGTGTGTACCGGTATGACGGATAGCACGTGGATGGGTAGACCATTTGATGCTATGCTTTTTAACCGTCAACCCAGGCCCAACATCTACTATCCTTATATCCCGGAACAAATGGTAAATTTTCCACGTGTCCCGAATCACTGGTACGACCCATGGCACCTAGGACCACCTCACTGCACTCTAACCCCGATGCACAGACACCCAGTCCAACCCCCGTATCATTCATAAACTCTTGCGTTGTTGACGCACAAACAGAGTTAGGTTATGGTGATATCTTAAGCCAGTTTGTAGTATCCCGTGACTTATTCACGATATTGCTAATTAATGCGCGTTCCTTAATCAATAAGATATCTGAACTAAGGGCATTATTATTTATCGCCAAGCCTACTGTAGCTCTGATTGCTGAATCATGGTGCTCATATTCTGTACTTGATGTGCATATAGGCATAGATGATTACACTGTACACCGTGCAAATAGAGACTGCAAGCGTGGTGGAGGATGTCTCATATATATACATAACTCATTCGTAGCCAGTAAGGTGGAAGATGAAATACTGAACGATGTACCTGATTCACTCTGGGTCGTCTTACAAGGAGATAAGTACAAGCTTCTCATAGGCTGTGTTTATCGAGCACCAAGCTCAACCAAAGAAACTGATGCGTTATTAGCTAAATCATTCGCACACGCCTCATCGTTTAGTACTAATTACAAAATAATCGCAGGGGACTTCAATCTTCCAGAAGTCAATTGGTTAAGTAGTTCCGGCCCCCAACGCTTCGACGAATTACTTGCCACTATCGATTGTTATGGATGGCAGCAACACGTCCAGACACCCACTCGTGGTGATAACATGTTGGACCTTGTGTTTTGTCATGACACAATCCCAGTCTCCACCTATGTTGGTAACAGATTTTCCAGTAGTGACCATAGAATGGTGCTCTGCTCTCTGCCTTTTTCACCACTAAATACAGGAAACAAACAGGATTCAGGGAACTTGATTTGTCGTAGTTACAAACATACAGACTGGGGATTAGTCCGAGAACTCATTCGACTCTGTCACTGGGATGAATATTTTACCACTGACTCCCTGGAGACTGTAGTGTCCCTATTTTACAGGAATGTTATCCTTTGTCTAGATACTGTTGCTCCTAAGAAGGTAGTGAAATTAAGTAGACACCAAGCTGATTACATTCCGAGGGCATGGCGCAATAAGTTAAGGAAGTTGAAGAAACAGTACTATTCAACTAAGGATATATCACTACTACACTCAATCCATGAGTCTCTTGAATCTGTCAAGCGCCAACGCTCTCAAAAGGACCTCGACGAAGAATTAAGGGCACTTGAAAGCACCTCCAAAGTTTATAACTTAACAACACTTCTTAAAAAACGAATGCAGTCGACTAGGGACATCCCCTATTTACTTCATGACAAAGTTATCTACAATGTGCCTGCCACCATCTGTGAAATATTCAGTGAGTGGTTTGCAAACTTCAGTTTAGAAACGCGCATTCCTGGTGACACCGGCCCCCTTACTAGCTCTTTCCTCGGAAGCATAGTGTTCACCGACCAATTAATAGAACAAGCGGTTAAAAGCCTGAAACCTTCCACTAGCACAGGACCAGATGGCCTTGCTTCCATAATTTTCAAAAACAGTGGGTGTGACATACCCCTACTACTTCTTAAATTCTTCCCGATATCTATGGACACTGGCACTTACCCTCATGAGTGGAAAACTAGCTTCATAATTCCACACTATAAATCCGGTGATAAGGCAAACGTCCGCAATTACAGACCTATAAATATAACCCCAGTTGTCTCGCGAGTCATGGAGAAAGTTGTCAAAGATCAGTTGTCAGACTATCTACTTAAGGAAGATCTTGTTACAAGGTCTCAACACGGATTTCTCAAAAATAGGTCTTGCGTTACTTGCCACTTCGACTTTTTCAACTGCATCACTAGTAGTCGCGAAGCACGTAAGCTAGTTGTTGTTCTCTACTTCGACATATCTAGGGCATTTGACATGGTATCTCACAGTATTCTCTTTGAGAAGCTGTATTCATGTGGGATTCGCAATCCATTACTGAGCTGGTTAAAATCCTTTCTAAGCAATAGGGTACATATAACCAAGGTTGGATCTGTGTTGTCTCATCCTAGACAGATCACAAGTGGGGTTATTATATATATTTTCCTATCAATGTAGGACACACCAGTTGTACAGGCATGGATAAGTATTATTTAAATTACATGAATTTGATTTATAGTGAAATTACATGGTTGCTGTCCTCTCTGATATCAGTTAGTGAGCACATTCTGATAGTTAGTCGTTCAATGGAGCACATAAAGAAATATAGAAATATTGTCTTCGCATTAACAAAAAAAACCCAAGTACGTGTCGGATAAATTACAAATATT